CTCTCTCTCTCTCTCTCTCTCTCTCTCTCTCTCTCTCTCTCTCTCTCTCTCTCTCTCTCTCTCCTTCTCGCCCCTCTCCTTCGCTTTCTCCCTTCCCCATCTTTCTTTGTGCGCGTCCGTGTGTGTATGTATTTGCTTTTAAAAATACTAACCCTACTTGAAGAAATTTGATAGAAACACATAAGAAAAATCTATTTAATTGAATCGTATTTTTGATAAAAAACGATAAAATTATATAGAAAGACATGTGTATACAGATAAATATTTAACCATTAAAAGTAATTTGTGATATAAAATGTAAGAAATTGATAACTTTTTTATATAAGCTGAAATGTGAAAAATTGAATTTTTTTCGATAAAAATAATATAACTTTTTATAAAGTCATATAGTATTTTAACGAAATTTGTATATATTTTTGTGAATCCTTATTTTTTTAAGCAGAGGGATTTCACTAAGAATCTTCCAATTATTGTACCGTATACATTATGAGTATTCGTGTAACGGATATTGTTACAAATCGACTTTTGTAAGTTCTTGACCACGTTCTTTTTTAAATTGGCTACCATAATTGATATATCTTTCACTCATTTATAATTGACAAAGCATGCTCTAAATTGGCGTGTATTACTACTTGATATCACAATTGATATCGATACTGTTATCATGTTCCGAATATTACTTGAATACATGGTGTTTGTCATCATTATCTATCTCAGACAGCACAAAATCTTCAAGAGAATGCATTCTAGGGATGTTCTCAAGACGTAGAAACGCTCTTAGTCTATGTCTTTAGCAATTCCTGTAGAGATCTGTGTTGTTTAGGTATATGATTTATGGTAAACGACATTATCCTTCCTTTCCCTCTCTTCTTTCTCTTTTTCTCATATTGTCAAGATACCATTTTCTCATTGTTAAGACACCATTTCGTTTGAGACTTCATTAGCAGCACATATTAGTTAGTCAACATTTAGCCGCTATAGATTCAACATTGGTCTAAAACTTTATGCTGTTTGGGTTATTGACCTGGAATATATCCTTTTTGACACATTCGTTATCGATAACTCGTGCTATTCGATAATTTGACTGTGGTTGCACGAACGTGAAGCAAGTTGCAAAGTCGCGAAAGAAGCGAGGTCAGAAGAGAGCGCGTGCGTCGCTGTTGCCGCCGCCACCGCAGCCGTGCAAGCCGCAATCATCCTTCATCGTCTTCGGCGTCTCGTTCGCAGGCTCCGCCGTGGCTCCGTCTTCGAGCACCGCGGCGGCAGTTTGCGCGCGAGCACTTTACCGAGGGAGCGTACTTGAAGAAAGCGAAGGAGAACAGAATAACCGCGCTGCGACGTCTCTTCTTTTTTTCCTTTTCCTCTTCGACGTGATCCTGCGAGCTCTTCCGATACGTAAGTACGCGCGTTTCCGGTATCCCCCACCCTTCCTCGGAGAGAGTGAATATTGCCTAGTGTATTTGATCATGAGGAAAAAGATAAGCGAATACAAGAGAGAGATTCATGACGAGAGGTAAACCTTCGAGGCGAATTTCATTGCTGACTTCACGGTTGTTTGTTTTTTTCTTTTCGCGAATCATATAATTTGCAAAATAACAAATGAAATATCAAGGATTATTGTGTAAATTAGGTACACGTATTAGTTTCATGATACTTAAATACTGTATGCGCAATATTAACAATTAATACTTATTAATTCTTATTTATATCTCGAGTTTTTAAAGAGCAATTTCTTTCAACGATTTATTCTTCAGTTCTACGTAACTACGTCGATAAAATTTTCCATAGATGAATTATATCTTTTGTTTTTATTCATACTATATTAATAGAACTTTAATCTTATATCCTTGTTTCGCTGTATCGCTGTATCTATTGATAGATATTTATCTCTTGAGCTATACTTAAGCATAATATAACGTAATATATGTTTTTTGTTACTTTTTGTTGCTCTTTCTTTACTCTTCATTTCCGCCACGTATCTTTTTTTTTGCGCTCTAGAAGAGGTCGTGGTAACGCGTGCCGCCGGTAACTATTTTTGGAGGTTTCTCGTAGGGAAGCACGAATTTGTCGTAGTTCTAAAATTACGTAGCAACTGATGCCAGGAGAGAGCGGGTGTTTTCTTCCTCCTCATCTTCTTCTTCTTCTCTCTTTTCTCTTTCATTCTCTCTGACTGTCTTCATTTATTTCTCTGGCGAACAAATCTTGTTGGATCGGCAGCCGCGAAATTGACATTGATGACGCAACATGGTTTTCCTAGACATCGCGATTTTAACGCAAGTGATCGTCGGTATTTTGTGTTTCAGGGCGGCACAGAGCTAAGGGAACCGCAAAAAATCGAGAAGCTCGGTGAGACTTACCTACCGTACTCAGTCTTCTTAGAGTACATAAATGGGCTAGGAACTTCTACATTCGCGTGAGTAATATCAGTTAACATGTGCGCGTCGGTTACTTCGTGTTGTTGCTGGTTCTGCATCTTTACATCCACAGTGAATTAAACTCAAATTTTAAAGTACCATCGATTATGCATAACTGCACAATCACAAATTTACACACAAGCTGAGATTTTTCAAAGTTTATTTTTATTAGTTTGATATTATTAACGTTATTTTTTAACTAAATGTAATATATTTCTTATATGTAATATATTTTTCCTATTATTTTTATTAATCTATTAACGATAATCGCGAATTTCGTTTTTATTACTAATTCCTAATTTTTTAATTTTAATTCTTTTTGTTTTAGAAATATTTTAGTTTTTTTTTGTTTTTGAGATATATTCTAATTTATTTTCAAGATTATTTGTTATTTAATATTTATTTAGTGTTATCGTTTAAGAAATTTTATTCGTTTTTATATTTCGGGAATTATTTAATTTTATTATTTGATAAGAATGTGATTTTACTCAACATTGAAATTAAAGTGATTTTGTGTTTTCAGACCGGGCACGTACAATCTTTTTAAGCACAACTGTAATTACTTCACAGAGGAACTTAGCAATTTTTTGGTAGGCAAGGGCATTCCCAAATATATTCTAGATCTACCAGAAGAGATATTACAAACGTAAGTTCTATCAATTAGCATCTATTATTAACATGTACATTCGTGGTTGTTTGGTTTTTTTATAAGTTTAGAAACCTATTCTTCTTGTCCAGTGAGAGAGTTCTTTTATAAAATAAATTCTCTTATTGGATAAGAAGGATAAGTTCATAAACTTACAAAAAATACTAGACAACCTTTCCGACCATGAATGTACATGTATACAGGGTGTCCCGCGTAAGACGTACCAAAAGAAAGAAAATAAGTAGAACAGATAAAAGTGAACAAAGAGGTTTTTTAAACGTAAAATTTCGAGATATTAATTAAAATAGTTGAGAAAATCAGAACGCGCGACGCAGCAGACGGGACATACGGCTCGCCGCAATCGGCGAAGATAATCGGGGACGATTGCTCGTGGACCTATCCACAGACTTCTATAATATCTAGACCGTTAATTAGGTATAGTTTATTTAAGGATTGTTTGATTGGAAAAATACCGCCCGCCATCTTCGAAAGGACCTCACATACGTGACCTGAGTGGCAATGTGTGAGTGGGAGGAAGCTATAGTGCCTGTCATTTGAACTCGGTTTCAATTCGGTCCTTTCAAAGATGGCCACCCGATATTTTTCCGAACACTCACTAAATACGGATATTAGCAGTATAGTTTATATATAGAAGTCTGTGGGCCTATCTCATAGGCCTAGAGGTGGGGACTACATCTTAGATCTGACATTGTGTGATAGGTCCGCGAGCAATCGTCCATTTTCTTCACCGACTGCGGCGAGTCGTATGTCCCGTCTGCCGCGTCGCGCGCTCTGACTTCTCAACTATTTTAATTAATATCTCGAAATTTTACGTAGTTGTTTGAAAAATGACCTCTACAATATTTGGTCACTTTTATCTGTTCTACTTATATTTTTCTTCTTAGACGTCTTATGCGGGATACTCTGTATATAAAAGTATAGTTCTCACATTCACATATACAAAGTGTTCTAGATTCTCCTTCTCACATTAAGTGGAAATATAGGACGGGTTGAGGTGAACATAAAAGTCCTATACCGTTTTACGATATTCGCAATAATAGTCGAGATATTAATTAAAAAAGATTGGTGAATGATCACGCGCGATATGGTAGATTAGCTGCAGTGGCGTCGTCTACCGTTGTATACTTATAATTAAGTCAAACTGAACAAAAAGGTCTTTCTACCATTTTGCAAATGACCACATAAATTTTTAGATATTAAGGAAGTATACCTAGTTAGAAGGACGAAAAAGAACGAACTTTCGTGAATTTTTTCCAAAAAAGTATATACATATACATTTTGTATGAAAGTTTTTATATTCGAAAGAACCTACTTTGACAAAGTTCTCATATTTTTTTAATGTGAAAATACTAATAAGTAAATAAATTATGGCTAATGTCCGGAAAGTCGTTTTCTAAAACGCGTTTTGCGGTGACCACTGCCGTTTGAAACCAAGTTATTTGACATGAAAAAACCCCTAAAATTTAATTAGTATATAAATTTATCTATTCTTCTAGTCTTTAATCGTTCGATATTCCGAAAAATTGAATTGTGACAAAATGGCGATTGTTTAAAGTTAAAGTTTCGATTTTTATAAAAAAAAAACGGATAATTTTTGTCTATTAAAAAAAAAGTATGTATTGGAAAAAAATCCTTCGGTTAAAGACTAGATTTATATGTCTAAAAAAAGGATGTAAAATTTCAAATTGATTGATGAAGTGATTTTTGAGATATCGTGGTCACCGATTTTGAAAACAGCTTTGAGAAAAACACGTTTAAAGTTTCAAGTGCAGTTTATACTAAATTAAAAAATTTATTTTTTAATTTACACAGAGTCATCTATTCCAAGGCCATGTTCTCCTGAAGTTGATGCTTCTAAAATATCGATTTGTCAACGACGTATTCTTTCCTCCCGGGTTCTCTGCTGCGCGCAATATTCATCTGTATATGCGTTTAGCGTCTTCTCTATTAACATATTGATGGGCATTAAGATCGCTGCTTACTTCCATGTATTGTAGCATCTATATTAATGTTATTGAGTCCTCATTAAATATGTAGACAGCGATATATGCTGCTAATTCAACAATAATCGAGCCACTTGGAATAATTTTTGGGCTGATTTTACAGATCAATTGGTTATAACTCTCATTATTGTTTTGATTAAACCCGCCAACATATCTGTGTAGTTAAGATCTTCATAAATATGTTTGTGGCACAATAATTTCTTTCTGCATCTTGAGTTTTTTTGCAGATGCATTTTTGTAGAAAACTTTCCTCACTCCCATTGTTTTTGGATTAAATACATTTTTCCTTTTTTTATTCTTGATTTTCGGAAACTACCTGATTTTCTTAATTCTCTCGAACCCTTTTTGCGATCTATAATTTATAGAAGAAAATAAAGCGGACTGTATAACTCGACATCAACTGCTGCACTACCAGCGTCTCCGGGTTTCGTGCCTGTTTGTCTAAAAAAGTTCGTTAAATTTACTGTTATAATGTCTCAAAAGACTTCTCGTATTTACTAACACAAGTATATGTTTTAGTAACATACAATAGATGACTTAACAGGCAGGTAGAAAGAGATGATATTTGTCCCTTGTACAGTTACCGCGTTAGACTGCTTCAACGAACATATACTCAAACATATCTCCATAAAAATACAGCGGATCAACTTAAAATTTTGAGGGAATATTTCTAATTATATACTTTAAGAAAATATGATTTTTAGAAAATCGATTTTTTCAAAATTTCTAACTAGATATAGAAAATAACCTCTCTTAAAGAAAATTGTTACATATATGATTGTGTAACAATCACATAATGCACAAATTTTCTTTAATTAATATAAAAATCTATATGGTCATTTACAAGATGGTAAAGAATTTTTTTGTTCAGTTTGACTTAATGTATAACCTCAGGTAGCAAGGTGACGTCTAAAGACGTCATTAAGATGTCATTAAAACGTCATGGACGTCTTAATGACGTCTTAATGACATCTTTAGACGTCATTGCTACCTGGAAAGGTATATATAACGGTAGACGGCGTCACTGTAGCTCATCTACTATATCGCGCGTGATCATTCATTAATCTTTTTTAATTAATATCTCGTCTATTATTGCGAATATTGTAAAACAGTATAGGACTTTTATATTCACCTCAACCCGTTCTACATTCCTACTTAATATAAGGAGGAGAGTGTGAGACACCCTGTATATTATTCATGATATTATCGATGTTCACAATAATTATCGAGATATTAATTAAATAAGATTTATGAATTATCATGCGAGAAATAAACTATAGTGTCACCATTTGCTATCATGTGCTTGTATATTAAATTATACTGAACAAAAAAAGTCCTTTACCATTTTTTAAATAATTTTGTATATTTTTAATTATTAATTAAAAAAATAAAGAATATTAATATATTACCAAATAATATATTAATATTCTCTAATTAAGAACTAAAAATCTATGAAATTATTAGGAGAAAGATAAAGGACTTTCTTACTCAATTTGACCTAATATACAAACATATGACGGCAGATGACGCCGCTACAGCTATCATATCACGCTCATATCGCATAATCATTCACAAGTCTTTTTTAATTAATATCTCAATAATTATTGTGGATATTACGAAATAGTATAGGACTTCTATGTTCATCTAAATCTATATTAATGATCGCTACATCTATCATATCACGCTCATCTCGCATGATCATTCACAAATCTTTTTTAATTTATATCTCAATAATTATTGTGGATATTACGAAATAGTATAGGACTTCTATGTTCATCTAAATCTATATTAATGATCGCTACATCTATCATATCACGCTCATCTCGCATGATCATTCACAAATCTTTTTTAATTTATATCTCAATAATTATTGTGGATATTACGAAATAGTATAGGACTTCTATGTTCATCTAAATCTATATTAATGATCGCTACATCTATCATATCACGCTCATCTCGCATGATCATTCACAAATCTTTTTTAATTTATATCTCAATAATTATTGTGGATATTACGAAATAGTATAGGACTTCTATGTTCACCTAAATCTATATTAATAGTTGCCACTAACAAGTATTATTCTAAGTACTATTGATGTAAAATATTACTGAATTTGAAATACAAATAGAAATAACTAGTAAAAAAATAAAATAAATAAAATAAGTAAAAAAAATATTACGTTATATTCATAATATTTTTTAAATATTACTGCAACGATGCTGAAATAATATTGCAAATTAATATTTCTGTAATGTTTCTGCAACATTGCATTGCAATATGCAATATTACAACTAAAGATGTGCCAATTAAAGATTTTTAATGTCGAATCAAATCGAATCTCAGATTTTAATTTCGAATTCGACTTGAATAGAATTGATGTAATTTCACCTAAATCCGATCGAATCGAATCGTTCAAAGAATTTTTAATTAACATAATCACTGAATTCAACATAAAAATAGTGATTTCAGTATGAGAGAGATAACATTAATCATGTGAAATCAATTCATTTTAAGGTAAGAGATATATAATATATATAGTCGGTAAACGTATATGGAATACGGTTCCAGCCTTGAAAGCTGCGCAACAACACATATCGATCCGATAGTTGTCGGTAAGAGTTTATGTAGAAGCTATTACCTTTTTTTTAATATTTTTGAAGAAAATCTTAATGTGTAGCAAACTTTTCAAGTCATGCTAATTCCCAATAAAACTGGATGTCTTTAATAGTTCTTCGTTAATGCACTGTAAAACAGATATGTTAAATTTAACACATTTCATGTGTCCCAAATCATCCACTTTCATTCATGTGTAAATTTAACACAAAACAAATGTGTTAAAAAGTAACACGCATAATATGGAAAAAATTAACACAAGAATTTGAATATCGTTAGGAATCATAGGTTGTGTTAAATTGACATATTTAATATGTCAGACATAGATTATGTCAATTTAACATTTTTATTTCATCAAAACCGTAGATTAATATTTCTCTCAAATGTTAAAGTAATAGTTCTATTTTAGTTAATTTAACATTATGGGGTTGGATAGTAACTAGTTAAAAAGTTAAAAGTTAAATTAAAAAGTTAAATAGCTATAACTTAGTTACATTTTTACACTTTTAACTTTTATCTTAACTTAGTTACATTTTATCGGTAACTATTAACTTTTAATTCAATTATCTTGAAGTTAACCATGCCACAAAATTGTCGCGAGACGTCGAAAGGCTATTCAGTACAGGAAGGCTCATTTACGACAATCTTCGAGGAAAAATGTTAAAATGGATAAAAATTTCGAAAAAACCTTATTACTTAAATTTAATAAGCATCTGTAAATAAAACATGTTTCCAAATAAGGTGTGTATTTGTTTTTTCCGTTACTTGTAAAACTGAAACCCTGAAGTCATGAAATAAAATAAATTTAACTTTTAACTTTTTAATTACTTTTTTTATTAATTTAACGTTTAATTCAATTAATTTCATGATGGGTTAACTTTATCTTAACTAAGTTAAATTTTCAAAGCCATTAACTTTAACTTAACTTAGTTAAAAAAAAGTTAACTTACCCAACTCTGCATTATACATATATCAATTTAACACAAACTGTGATTCCTAATGGTAGTCAAGTGTTAAATTCTTATGTTAATTTTTTACATATTATACGTGTTACATTTGTTTTGTGTTAAACACATAAATAAGAGTGGATGATTTGGGACACATGAAATGTTAAATTTAACACATTAGTTTTTACAGTGTGCTAATGTGCGCGATCTGTATTCGAATCTTTTCGATTTTTGAATTATTCGGATTCGAATCATAGGGATTCGAATTTGAATTGAATCGAATTTTACTTGATTGGATTCGATTCGAATTCAAATAGTTCGCACATCTCTAGTTACAACATTATTGCAAGCTTTTGTGCTATATGTGATGTTTTGTTGTTGCCTCCGCGAGAGCTTCGAAGGTTATTCTGCGACATTCTATATTTATATTTCATTGATTCAGTCTTAAAAAATTTAATTCAATTTTTTATATATTGTTTAGAATTAAATTTGAATTTATATATTACATTCAATGAAAATAATTTATTTCTCAATCGAATAATCATTGTCATTGCTTATAATTTTAGTAGCATTTGTATCACCGAAAAGAATAAAAATCAAATCCAATTTTTCACTGATTTAATATATAATATTTTGATGTGAACTTCATTTATTTTCAGACCCGTTGGACAAGCACTAGGTCCATTGATAGAAACATTAAGTAATAGCGCAAGTGCTGGATTCACAGTCGGCCAAAGGTTCGTTGAAGCGAGGATCCAGAGAGAAGCTTCGCCAGAATATCAACTTCTAAATACGGCTATCGAAGAAGCAAGGTATTATATTGCGCATAAATCATCCATAAATCATTTAACTAGCTCTAACAAGCATCGCAATTTCATAATTGGAATATATTTCCAGATTAAATTCAATTGCATTAGAAGAACGCAGGAACGTCATTAACGAAAAGCTAGCAAAAAAAGACCGGAAAAAGAAAAAGAAGAAGAAGGACAAGAAAGAAAGGAGTAGCAAGGAGACTACTAGTAGCGGTAGCAACAGTACCGAACCGAGCAATTGCTGCTTAGATATGGCAGAGAAAGAGAGTATGCATAATTCCATTGTTAATCGAATAATATTCTTATCCTAGATTCTACAAAATAATTTCGTAATTCTTATTTTGCGTTATTTGCATCTCGCTTTTATAATTTTTATTTTTTGTTTTGTTTTTATATTTTATTCTGTTTTGCTTTTAAGAAAATTTCTACTCAAACAGAACAAGATGTCCAGAGGATATTTTGAGAACAATCTCAAGATATAAAGACGTTCTTAGAATGTCTTTAGGTTGTCCTGTAAAAATTTGTGTTTGAGTATAGTTATGTAATAGTTTACAAATATAGTTTAGTTTAATAGTTTATAGAGAAAAGTAGTCAAAAGCGATATAGGCCTCCTACCTAAAGCAACATACTTCTATATCTCGTATATTAAGTTTTATGAAAACTAATATAAACGTAATTCATTTTATCAGTTAAGTCATGAAAAAATTATACTTGGTATATTTCTTCATTGTACTTTTTATATGCTAAATTAGCAAATATTGAGTTTTAGAAATTTGCAAATTTTATTTCTATGATTTTATTAACGAGTTAGACTAAACAGCGATAATTATCTTTTTGCTCAATATTAAGTTTTTCTACATGTATTTGGCATTTGTAGAAATATTTTATGAGTATTTTTATCTTCATTATTTTTTTACTGTATAACTTGAAAAATTTTATGGGAATCTGTCTTAAAGTGACATACCTTTACAATTAATTTCTCGGTTATTATTGAGAATATTGCAAAATGGGACCTTTGTGTTCATCTCAATCTACTCTACGTTCTCACGAAAGATTGTGAAGGTGATTCGGGACATCCTGTCATTTACATTTATATTTTAAACTTTACATTAAGACATAACCTCCAAAAACAAAGTGATATATCGCTTTTGGTGCCTTTACTCTACTTTTGATCCTTTGCCGTGGTCATCTTTTGTAACATCAGAAGTGACAAAATACATGCTTAAAAATTTTACAAAGTATGTTAAAATAAAAAAATATATTTATAAAATAATACTTGCGACCCATTGAACAGATTTGTAAAATATTATGAAAACTTCCACTTTGCTTCAATAATCAGTAAATAACCATAAAATTAATGCAATATGTAACTTAATTATTTGAATTTATCACGTTAATTTTCTGACTATTGATTATTGGAAGAAGAACCAATTTTTCAAATTATTTTATAAATCTGCTCAATTAATCGCATCATTTTATGGTCATATCTTTTTATTACAACATATTTTACAAGAATTTTGAACGTATATTTTCTTGCTTTTAATGTCATAATCTAGGTTAAAATATTTACAATAAGGAAACAACAATGTTAAAATATGTTTTGTCATATTTTTGCCTTTTTAAACGTAAAGACTAATAACAGAGAAAACAAAGAATTGCAGGATTATTTTATGGGATATAATCTTGGATTTATGAGTTAAAGAAATATTTACAGTGAAAAAATAATTACTATCTTTTCATATCATCGTTTATTAGGTGTTATTAGTGATATACAGCAGCAACCGTCTAATGGGGAACCTGCAGCTGCAGAGATGTTGCCTTCTGAACGTGTAATGCAAATGGAAGAAGATGAGAAACGGGAGGAAGAGGAGAAAAAACGCTGTCGAGATCCACCGATAGTCTTTAAAGATATTGTAAGCGTTCAAGCGCAGTATGAAGGTTTAGTAGCCGTCCTTGAGGGAAAATTGAATGACGAGGAACGAACGTGCTTAGATGAATTACGATTATACGTCTTGGAAAATGAGGGTTCTTGGGCGTTGGGCGATAATTTTCTGAACTTTGTAGGTGAGTCATTAAGTGATATTAAGTCTTTTGCTTACCCTCTCTGAAACACGTTTGTTATATCAAATCCGAAATTTTAAATATAAAAATATCTAACTTAGATATTTTATTAAAATCCAAGGTAAGTATTTCTCAAGTTTCTAATTATTGCTTCTCCATCATCATTGCTAGTTTCTGTCATTGTTAGTTTTTAAATGTAACGTAAAAATATATCTGACTAAATGAAACGATTTTAGGTCGAATTCTTTATGACAAGTCGTTGGACAGTGACGCACGTATAAAATTATTGAATGTATTATCCGTTGCTGCATTGAAGGACGATGTGATTTTACTGCTACACCAAGATAGACGAGAACATATAATTATGAATTATGCTTTTGATATCGATCGTCATTCGCAGGAGGAGCAACTTTCACTCGCGCAATTTGTAAGAAAAACTTATTTGACTTGAATTTATTCTTAATATTGAGTTATAATGTTCTAATTTATATAAAATAAATCTAAGTTACAATTTTTTATAAATATTTTTAAGATTCGTAATTTTTCACTTCGATTGTTGTTGAACAGTTAGCCAACATGTTCGAGAACCTCAGCAGTTCGGAATGGTTGCTTTACATATCCGAATGGCAACATCAGAATCAGAATATCAGCAACATAAGAGTGACGACCAAAGTCGCGGTGCACTCATTGCTCTCGAACTCGGAGGACCTGCAGATTCGCGGCGCTGCCATCATCCACAACCTTGCTTGCAAGGAGGTAAAAACTGTGGTCTGTATCCTTCCCCATGATTTCCTTGAATTAACATTCTTACTTGTCTCATGCCGACTTTCGCTTTCATTCTGATAACTCATCACTATAATTCATCTCGCGCATCGAAGATGTGTCGTTCTACAAATGTTGCATTTATAAGTTTATTTCTTCAATGTTCATTTCTAAGTTTATTTCTTCTTAATAGTAAATTAACATCTTAAATTACACCGTGTCCTTATATA